GGACTCACTCGGTGGCCCTGGCCAGCAGCCAGAGGTCGTGCTGGCCGTGGAGCTGCTGCAGGTAGCCCAGCTGGACCCCGCTCTCCTCGCTCCTCGCCCGCCGCCGCAGCCGCTCCAGGCACGTCTGGAACAGAAATTCCGGCTTTGGGGAATGTTTGGTAAAGGGGTAAACAGGAATAAAATAGATGTCAATGTAAATATAAACGTAAATGTAAATGATAAATGTATTTGTGTATCTGCAAAGATTATAAGAGAATTGTATATCTAATAGATATAAAAAGAGGTATTTATAGATGTGATATATGTAATTTATACATATATATTTTATATAATATAGATTTTAATGTATTTAAATTTATTAATGAAATATATAAATATGTATTTATAAATAATAATATATAAAAATGCTAAAACTCGCCTAAAACCCACCCTAAATCACCCTAAACCGACCCCAAATCACCCAAAACCCACCCTAAACCCACCCAAAATCACCCTAAACCCACCCTAAATCATCCTAAACCCAGCCTAAACCACCGCAAACCCACCCCAAATCACCCCAAAGCCACCCCAAATCACCCTAAACCCACCCAAACCCACCCAAACCCACCTAAAATCACCCTAAACCCACCCCAAATCACCCTAAACCCACCCAAACTCACCCCAAATCACCCTAAACCCACCCCAAATCACCCTAAACCCACCCAAACTCACCCCAAATCACCCTAAACCCACCCCAAATCACCCTAAACCCACTCAAACTCACCCCAAATCACCCTAAACCCAGCCTAAATCACCCCAAATCACCCTAAACCCACCCCAAATCACCCTAAACCCACCCAAACTCACCCCAAATCACCCTAAACCCACCCCAAATCAGCCTAAACCCACCCCAAACCCACCTAAAATCACCCCAAACCCACCCTAAATCACCCTAAACCCACCCCAAACCCAGCCTAAATCACCCTAAACCCAGCCTAAATAATCCCAAATCACCCTAAACCCAGCCTAAATCACCCTAAACCCACCCCAAACCCACCCTAAATCACCCTAAACCCAGCCTAAATAATCCCAAATCACCCTAAACCCACCCCGAACCCACCCCAAATCAGCCTAAACCCACCCCAAACCCACCCTAAATCACCCTAAACCCAGCCTAAATCACCCCAAATCACCCAAACCCACCCCAAATCACCCCAAACCCACCCCAAATCACCCCAAACCCACCCCAAATCACCCTAAACCCAGCCTAAATCACCCCAAATCACCCAAACCCACCCCAAATCACCCAAAACTCACCCTAAATCACCCCAAACCCACCCCAGTGCACCCCAGTGCACCCCCGGGTGCCGGGCTGGGTGCAGCCCCGCGGCCGGGTCCCGGTGCCGGCGCCGGTCCCAGTCCCAGTCCCGGTGCCAGTCCCAGTCCCGGTCCCGGTCCCAGTCCCGGTCCCAGTCCCAGTCCCGGTCCCAGTCCCAGTCCCGGTCCCGGTCCCAGTCCCGGTCCC